AGCGATGATCCACGCGACATGTTGGAGCAATTCATCTGCATCGGGTTGTCTTTTTGCGTGTTGTGGGACATTTGCGACAATACAGTCGACAATATCAAAGACATCAAGTGGGGTTCTAATCACTTCCAAGCCACTACACTCCCCTATTTCACTGTGAAAATCCCCATTCCATGTAAAGTCATTCCAACACCTTTTCAACAGCATTCGCTTCTTCTTCAATACCTCATCACAATCTTCAAAGCGTTCAACTTGTTGACGGCTTAGAATTTCGTCATTCGAAAAAGTGGGGTCCTGACATGCCGTGACGGGTCGACACCGCTTGAAGAACCCAATGAACGCAACACGCTCAATAAGAAAATCTATACACATGATATGCTCTTGATTTGTAATGGAGTATTCTCGTGTGATGGTATCGCGCATTCGATTCAATATGGGAATGAGATCTGGTAAATAACACTTTTTCGAAAAAGAAATGATGTCCCCGGCACAGGGTGACAGCGGGTCAAAGAGCCACAACGCAAAATTTTCGAGTGTTTTTTGAGTACAAGCCTTCAAGTCAGATGCGTTTTGTTTAAAATATCTTAGGTATTGTTATTATTAAATGAGGAACGAATTTCATATGATTTAAAAAATAAAAATCTTACATATTTCAGTGTCCCGTGAGAGGTAATTTCACTAAAATAATTTTCATTTGATGTATCATATTAAATTAAAATTAGATATTTAACTAAAGAAAACTAATAAACACAAACAAAACGCGTCTGATTGTCAGAAGCATCGACGCAATGAGTTTTTGCGGTTATTTTCGTTTTTTCCAACATTTTGAATAAAGCGTTTTGTCTTGGGTACGTTATTGCTCTAATTTGGTTTAACTCTTTCTGGTAAATATCTTTCGCAGTTTTTAATTTCAATCTCAAAATCTCAATTTTTTCGGAACGAAGAGGTTGAAGATTATCTTCCAAAAGTGAGGAAGGCGTCACCGCATAATTATTAATTTCTAAAACCATTTTGTTTCTATTGAGCATTTCGACGGCAGTTGACAAAACTTCTGCGTGATTTTTTACAACCGAAAAATTGTATAAAGAGACGTCGAGCGAAAAAGTCAAAAACAAGATTAGATTGTCGTAATAGTCCCGACTTTTCTGGAATATTTTGTTGAACGGTAAGAACTGAATAAGATGAG